GGAAAAACAAAATTATGGTATCCGTTCCAAATGGTAGAAGATTATGTGCAAGTCATGGCCAGTTCTGAACTACCAGCATGAATCTTTGGTGGGTCTGAAGTACAGAAAGGTTGCTACACATGATTTTTTTAAAGCATTCAAAATAGGTTAAACCTCTTTCATCCTGCTTTGTTATAAATTATGTTCTTAAACGCTGTCACATGAACCGATAAACCAAATAATTAATTGTATATGTTTGTCTTATCTTTCTGCTTTCATGATCCTATGTTAGTTGATCATAACTGAGAATTCTACTTATTTCAGGACTTGTATCATTACAGATTGAATTGCCCCTGAGTTTACCTAAGACCCAAATTTATGACATACTGCCATGGAGAACAAGTCTGACTTTGTGCTCAGATGGTAAATAATAACTTGTTTCTACAATTTATGCAAGAGAGTTTGTCCTCTCACACATCTTCTTCAGCATAAACCCATCAAAGAGTTCTGGCACTCTGGAACATGCAAGGGCTCTAGTAGGTTTGAGAAAAATCTGTAATGTATTAAGTTCATTGCTGTGCTTTTGTGCCAAGGAGATGATCACGTATCAGACCATATCAGCTGGCATATGCTTGTATGGGAAAACTCCACCTGATATCTTCTGAGCAGCAACATTACAGTGCAATCAATAAGAATTTCCAATGACAACTGACACGCTCTGCTACTCTCACTTATTTTTCCTGTCCTAAATTATGTAATGTTGTTGAACATGATAAACGAGAAAAAGACTTAATTGATTAATGAAATGAAATTAATGGAGATATCCCATCTCCTAGAACTGGAAGGGACCTTGAAAGGTCATTGAGTCCAGCCCCCTGCCTTCACTAGCAGGACCAAGTACTGATTTTGCCCCAGATCCCCAAGTGGCCCCCTTAAGGATTGAACTCACCACCCTGGGTTTAGCAGGCCAATGCTCAAACCACTGAGCTATCCCTCCCCCCCATGTTCGGTATAATGCTTTGAGGACCTCAGGGGGAAGGTGCTATAGCTGCAAAGATGTCTACCCACACTATTTTATTTTGGGTAAGACAACATCAGAGATAGATTAGATAGAAAATTATCAGTGGCAATGGTAGCTACTTTCTGTTATAAAACCGTGTTTTCAGTTGCTTATAACTATACTATAAGCAAAGTTTGGCCTGAAATTTTCCATACCGGATGGCTGCCCCAGGCTGAATTTTTTTGGAAAGTTTCAGCCTAAAACCATTCTGCTGTTTGAGAATGAAGCTAAGAAAAAAAAATATTGTTCTGCCCATGTTAAATGTTTATAAGTGTTTCATTGAAATGTTCTAGTGCCACCATGCTTTGGAACAGTGACATGACATGTGTTGGGGGACTGCCCTAATGTCAGCAATATGTCTTGCGCTGTTCCTGTGAAAATCTGACCAAATTTGATTAAATTATAAGCCTTTGAAAATAACAGTTCATACATGCTCAGCAGAGCCATATACACTGAGCATACTTCCATCCCCAAACAGCTTGCGTGTGTGACTGAACTGAGCACACGCTGGCAGAGTGACTGAGCATGCTCCACCCTAAGACTGCAGGAACGGAACAAGACTTTTCTTGCATTTGTTCCTCCTGACTGCAGAGCACTGCTGTGGTGAGAGGCACCAGAACAGATAGTAGGGTAGTGTGGACATCAGCCACCAGTGGTTGTAAGTCGACCTAACATAGGTCGACTTACGTTTCTAGGGTAGACATGCCCCTAAATAGAAGAACAGGAGTACTTGTGGCACCTTAGAGACTAACAAATTTATTAGAGCATAAGCTTTCGTGGACTACAGCCCACTTCTTCGGATGCAACAAATTTATTAGAGCATAAGCTTTCGTGGACTACAGCCCACTTCTTCGGATGCAACAAATTTATTAGAGCATAAGCTTTCGTGGACTACAGCCCACTTCTTCGGATGCAACAAAT